TCTGTCAAATGAGTTGACACTAGTAGAACTTACAACAACAAATTTCCATGTGGTTGTTGTATCGTTTTTTGTACAACAACACTTGCTGTTACCTTCTATTATTATACCATGGTAAGGAAAGTAGAAAGTCGGACTGGGCCGACTTGTATCCTAACAGACGTCGCCCATTCGAAACAGTATTGACATGAAATTTGACAAATTTTCACTTATCTTCATTCGGGCAGAGTTAAAGTCGTACAATGGTACAAATTTATGTAAATCGATTAAAAGCACTGTTGAAAATTAATTTTCAATCAAACACCCGTTCCAAATATATATGGAAGCTATGTCTGCATCTGCACCAATTTCAACAATGTGCAATAACGACATTTTAGTCTCAATTTGTCCAAAATTTCATGTCAATCGGAAAAACATTAGGAATTTGGTGCACAATTTAAATAAAATCGGAAGAAAATATATATAGGAGCTATATCTAAATCTGAACCGATTTTACAAAACTTAACGCGCATCATTCTAGACTGAATTCAGTACGCTATGCCAAATTTCGTGCATATCGAAAGAAATGCTGGCACTTTGGTGCTCCATTAGCATAAAATTGGACGAAAATATATATAGGAGCTATATCATTGTAGACTCAATTCAGTACGCTGTGCCAAATTTCATGCAAATCGAAAGATATATAGGCAAAACTTACATTAAAACGGGCGAAAAAATATACGGGAGCTATATCTAAATTTGAAACAATTTTCACGAAACTTATCACACATCATTCTAGACTCAATTCAGTACCCTGTGCAAAATTTTACATTAAATCGGACGATAAAATATATGGGAGCTACATCTAAATCTGAACCGGCTTTTCTCAATTTTAATAGAGTTTGTCCTTGTTAGTATGATATCCCATGTTTATCTTTTCCAGCTTCAACCTTGCCTGCATAGATTTTACCAAGTTTTTCGTGTAAGATGTCTGAATTTTCCCCATTCTACTTGTAAAGCATTTTTCAGACTTGGTATGCTTGAGATGTTATGGCTTTTTTCCCCAATTATAAATCATCCATTCTCGAACGATCTGGAACTTGTGTTTGGCGTCATTATCTCGATGAAATTGAAATGTTATTCCAACCCCAATTTTTCAGGACTACATTTCATATTTTCATTTAGATTGTTTACATTATAAATCCTATCCATAATTCCTTCAATTAAAAAGAGATTTCCTACTCCGGCAGCGCCACTACAGAGTGTGCATAGGCTTTATTCGGCCTGCGCCATACATATCCGAAACAAAAAGTTAAATATATTTTCATCAGCTGGAAAAGCAGATTTCCAAAATGCAAATCGTTTTTCTGAACGAACTCCAATCGGATTTTCCGGGTCTTGGGTTTTATGAATGGCTTTTTCAGTGCAACTCTAACATGAAGACCATGCTTACTTAATTAACTGGCTTGTGGCGAAACATTTGTTTCATAAGGTGAGCTAGCTAGGCGCGTCGGACTTGTGATCAGAACATCCAATTTGATGGTGTAGAGAAATCTATAAAAATATGTATTAAGGGGACCCCCCCATTCTCGGGGTCAAAATTTTTGTTGATATAATTCGAATCTACACTGATTAAAGAATGTCTCTACAAAATTTCAAGTGAAAATCTCAAGAACTCTTGAAGATATAGCCGATTTATTATGTCTGCATCAAGTGACGGCTGAAGGGCTTCTCAAACTTTAAACGCGTTTTTCTCTTTTGCGAATGGCGGGCACGATAACTCAAAAACTTATAATCCAATCGGTTCCAAATTTTGCAACGTTTCTCTGGGAGTGTATAGCTCTCGTATGAACTAGGATAAAGCCAATCGGTGAAGATCTTCCTTATTTTTTATCTTGGTTTTTGGTAAAAAATCGGCGATTTTCCAAAAATATTTTATCAACGGTCCACCATTTTGTTAAGTTTAGAGCGAAGTCAATAATCCTAGTTCATACGAGAGCCAGACATGTACTCTTTCTAACACCGTTGGAATTTTCGGATTCCGATTAACGAATGTAGTTAAGCCTACAATTTGTCAATTATTGAAAAATTTCAAAATATTTATTTTTTTCAATTGGATTGACATTGTATTGAAAAATTTTTTGGGAGAATACAACAAATAATTGAGAAGTAAAGCAAAGATGGAAAATAAGATGCCATTCTGAAACGAGTTTGTGTCCATTCAGGATATGAAGGATTCTAAGATCCATGCTAATAGGAACATGCTGTTCCTTAAAGTACCTGAAATGTTGATATGCCACGTGGTTATAAGCCTAATCGCTTTTCAATATCTTTGGCAGAACCCCTCGCATATATCCGATACCAACAATGTGCAAAAATCTATCATTGAGCTCAGCTGGAAAGAGGACAGCTAACAAAAAATCTGAAATATTAGAAAAAATATCCAAGACATATTATCTAATTTGAAGGTTTTACCAAAACCTCCGTCCAACCAATTACAGCTGATTAGGTTGAAAAACGTGTCCAAATCCCCAAAGGATCGTATAATGTGGAGTGCCATTATATGGAGGCTTTTCGGAAGCTTGGCCAAATTTTGTTAGGAAAATTTTCCAAATATAAAATTACAGCCAAATAACAAATATACAGTATTTTTCGGTTAATTGCACATCAAAATTTGCAAAAATTTTCGTTCAATTAACCGAGGAACCAATTATCCGAACCCGCTTAATTGAATAGTTTGTTCAATTACAGTAATCACGTATAGTTGGAACTACTAATGATTTAAAAAAATCCAATGTCAAATACAAATTACGCTTTCTCGAAGTTTTTCCATAGCAATAAATAGTCTTTTTCACAAATTATGTCAAATATGTATGTAAAAAAATGGCAGATTATTATACCCTTCACCACACTGTGGTACAGGGTATTATGTCTTTGTGCATATGTTTGTAACAGGCAAAAGAAAACGAGATAGACACATGGTTCCTTTTGAGAATATGCATAGAATCACTTTTTAAGTCGATTTATGCATGTCCGTCCGTCCGTCTGACTGTCTGTCCATGTATTTTTGTGAACAAAGTACAGGTCGCATTTATGATCCGAATTGGATGAAATTTGGCACAGCTCATTTCTTTGGCCCAAGGACGAACCCTATTGAAATTGGGAAAAATCGGTTCAGATTTAGATATAGCTCCCATACATATATTTAACCGATTTAATGTAAACGGTCCCTATATATCTTTCGATTTGCACGAAATTTGGTACAGCCTAATCATTTAGGTCTAGAATGATGTCTGCCAAGTTTCGTGAAAATCGGTCAAGATTTAGAAATAGCTCCCATATATAGATTCGTCCGATTTCATGTAAATGGTGCCCCAAAGTCCCTATATATCTTTCGATTTGCACGAAATTTGGCATAACGTATTGAATTAAGCCTAGAGTGATGTCTGCCAAGTTTCGAGAATATCGGTCCAGATTTAGATATAGCTCCCATATATAGTTTCGCCCGATTTCATGTAAATGGTGCACCAAAGTCCCTATATATCCTTCGATTTGCACGAAATTTGGCATAACGTACTGAATTGAGCCTAGAGTGATGTCTGCCAAGTTTCGAGAAAATCGGTCCTAATTTAGATATAGCTCCCATATATAGTTTCGTTCGATTTTATGTAAATGGTGCACCAAAATCCCTATATATCTTTCGATTTGCACGAAATTTGGCATATCGTACTTAATTGAGCCTAGAGTGATATCTGCCTTGTTTCGTGAAAATCGGCCTAGATTTAGATATAGCTCCCTTTTATTATAGATTGATTTTAAGTAATTGACGCACCAAGGAACCAATAGGAACAAAACGTTCTGAAATTAGTATAACCTAACCTGTGACAAGTTTGTTTGAAATCGCTTAATAATATTAAGATAAAGCTTTCATATATATTTTCGCCCGATTTCAAGTAAATTGGGCATCAAACTGCTCATGTTAGTCAGATTGACATCAAATTTTGCACAACTTACAAAATTGAGCATATAATTACGTAATTGCGTTTTCTAGAAATACAGATATAGCCCAACGGATGACCTATTTATATTTGTTTGAAGTCGATTTACATACTTTTGTCCCATTGTAACAAACGAATGACATGTTTATGGATAGATCAAGGTCGTTTCACATTTAGATAAATATCACATATTTTATTTCATCCAATTCCATGTTAATAGTCCTGTTTAATATACCCATAGTGGTGAAGGGTATCATATAGTCGGCCCCGTCCGACTTTACTACTTTCCTTACTGGTTTTTCAATTATTATTGTGCAATTAACCGGTGAAAAGTAAAAGGAAATTTATTTTTGATGACATGAATTTTGAACCAATTAAGCGGGAAAATCAATTAACAGGGTTTAATTATTCGAGAAAATTTACATGTATTTTCCTATGAAATATTTTTTGCACCATCATGTGGTTCAATTAAGCGTGGAAACCAATTAACCGTAGGGCCAGGCCAATTAACCGAAAAATACTGTACTTGGGCCAATATTGATAATTTTATGTAGAGAGATTTTCTGCTCAAGAACTATCCCTTACATTAAATTAAAAGCAATGCTGTTGAAAATCGTGCACAAGATCTTCAAAATACCGAATGTTTAGGACAACCATTATACCCCGAAACATGTGCCAATATTGATAATATTTGGTACGGACACTTTCTGCTCAATTACAACCATTTCTGTTAAAAAAATCGTTACAATTTTTCATATTGCGAAGTACCGTTATATGGGGATACCCTAAATAGTGAACTAATATTGAACATTTTCAATACCAAATATCGTAGAAGTAGTAGCAATGTATGTGCAAATTTCAGAGCGCTATCTTAAATCGTGGAGTGTAGCTTAATATTGGGCTATCTTGAATTATATTTGTGAATTATACATCAACAATTATGCTATGCAAGACACGTTTGCCGGGCCCGCTAGTTTATTAATAAAATCAAACTAATTTTAAACATAAAATATTTTTATTGACTTTTTAAGTGGGCCGTAAGATCATTTCGACAAATTTTAAAGAATAATAATGACCTCTAAAGTATTCCCAGTCCACGCCTTTTGCATATTCTGTTGTTGTGCCATTCAAATAGCTACCATTTAAATTACTGAAATGACAAAAAAATAACCAAATATCAATTCACAAATTCTTCCAATAACAAAATGTACCTTCTATGACAATCCTTATACCACCAAGCTCCCGTAAATTCAACAGCACAATTTTTATTCCACACGTCATTATCTTGATCTTTTGTGCTGAACTTCTGACCCAACGAATATGACAAAGAATCACCAGCTGAGCCAGTATATTTACCCAATTCCTTGAGGATATATTTCTCTGTTTCTGTACCAATTATAAATTGATCATATCTCGCATAACGTCGATCATTCTCCCAATCTTCCATGACAATGAGCAGCTCATATGGGCGGGTATTGGTAAGTTTATTCAATTTATCCATGCCAATGAAAAATTCTCCAGAACTGTTACCAAATCCTTCTTTATAATCAGCCCAGGGACGAAAGAAATCCACCGAACCATCAATTCGCCTTTGTATGACAATGTCACCAGGTTTTTTAATATTTTCTCTTAATTCTTTTACACTCATCTCCAGATTATTTATTTTCTCTAAAATTCCATTGATTTGGGGATTTTCATTTAAACATTGTGTAAGATTTTGTTGCGTTTCTTCTAAACTTTGTCGATTGTTAAAAAAACTTTGTTCCAATTCATTTAATTTTCCATGAATATCGGAAATTATTAAATTTTCTTTTTGTAGGGAGTTTGCCAAGGCGGATATCTTCAATTAAATTTAAAATATCATATTAAAATAATTTTGGTTCATACCATTTGTTTACCTCCTCCATTCGAATTCCATTGAAGAAATTTGAAAATAACCAAAAAATTGCCAGAACCTGTATTGCCATCTTACTGTCCGCTCCTACCAGTCCGCTTCAATTCTTACAAATGTTTCTGAAATACCATGAATTTTGTTAAGCCTTATATAGCAGTATCTTCGCAAATATCCAGTTGCTTAATTTTATACTTCACGATGCGAAAAAATCCCCTAACCCAAATATGCTACCCACAAAATGTCGTCTTCCAATTGCTTAAAAGCAAAATGCCATTATTTCTTAAAAGATAACATTACAACAACAACAACAATAAAATAGTGTTATTGTGCGATAATGAAAACCGCATCACAGTAGAACCAGTATTGTTGCCACACCATGCTATTTATACTCATCAAAATAAAAAAAAATGTAGGAAGTCTAGAATATGAGAGGTATGATAATGGATGGTTGCGCTTTATAGAATTCTATTGAAAAATCATCTTCCGATTCTATAAGACTATGGCAAGAAGGAATTGAGATGAAGAATTTGGCTTAGAATCGTCATTTTCCTGCAGTCACGTCTATATATATACTTACATAGCTGGCTCGAGAAAGAACATTTGTTCCATAAGCCAAGCTTAAAAAAGACTTCCAGGCGCGTCGGTCCTGTCAACAGCTCTTCTAATTCGAAAAACCATGTTCCAAAATATTCTCTTCCACTTGATTTTATTCATCGAATTCGTGGCCTTACCCTTCTACTTGAGCAATCAGTTGGCTCGCTTCTATATGCCTTTTGAGCTGCGGCATCCTCACAATCATATACAGCTCGATGCGTCTGACTATGTCGATGTCGGTGATATTCACCGTCGACGTAGGTCAGTCCATAGATCTCTCGGAGAATTTTCTCACAAACACTCCAAGCGCATGCGCTTCTGATCCATACACCAGCACGGGAAGTAAGTGTATGTTTGATCTGGCGATAAAGGGTGCATTGTTTCTAAATTGCTTACCTAGACCATAGTAGCATCTGTTGGCCAACACTATTCTTCTTTGAGTTTCAAAACTGATTTCATTAGTTTTATTAATGGCGCTATCGAGGTATATAAAATTATGACTACCTCGAAGCTGTAGTTCTCAAATTCCACAGTTAGTCCGAGTTTTCTTGACTCTGGCACGTTGATACCATCAGCTTGGTCTTCTCGCCATTTACTGCCAGACCCACTATGACAGACTTCATCTGAATTTGTTCAATGGTAGCTGTTACCGGTCGCAATGTTCGATCCATTATGTCGATGTCATTGACGTATGCGAGTAACATGTGTTGTTTGGTGTACAGACTGGCATTTCATCCAGCAGGATGTTATAAAGATCACACCACAAAGTGTCACCTTGTCTGAATCCTCGATCAGTATTGAAAGGCTTCGATAGATCCTTTCCGACTTTATGTGTTTACCTTGTGCCAGTTAAAGTTATCCTGCATAACCATATTAATTTTGAAGGAATATCGAACACAGACATGGCTTTAAACACCTCAGAACGAATAAGGTTGTCGAATGCGGTTTTATAGTCGACGAATATGTGAAATGTGTTGGTGGGTTTTTCGTGGGTCTTTTTCATGATTTGGCGAAGAGTGAAAATCTGGTCAATGATGAATTGCCAGATTTGAAGCCACATTGCTATGGTCCAATAATGTCATTGACCATTGCCTTCAGTCGTTCACACAGTATGCTGGGTAGCACATTATATGCGGTGAGAAGGAAACTTATTCCTCTGTAGTTGGAACATATCGCCTTGCTTCCTTTTTTGAGCACGGAACACAGAATGCTGTGGATCCTATCATTGGGCATGTATTTCTCTACCCAAATTGTACTAATTATCTTACGCATGCTCCTGACCAGTATCTGACCACCAGTCTTGAACACATCGGCACCTGTTGCTTTATTCTTCTTGATTGCTATTCTGACCTCATCTTTGCTAGGTGGTATACACCGTCATCTCTTATTGGTTCATGGTTATTTTCTTCACCGCCACTATTTGATACCAGAAGGATGTGGTTGGGCATAAAGAAATCCATAATTTTTTGGCAGATGGCTGTGCTGATTGATTTCTCGTAAAGTATCGATCAAACAATTTCAAATTTATGCTCGTTGGAAGGTTGACATTTAGCAGGAAAAAAATATTTTGTTGTTTTTTTGTTTGGTGCATTCGTCGAAAATGTCGATAAAATCTGAGAAATGATCGAAGTTGAGCGACATGTTAGCTATCGTAACATCGCCAGGAGCTAAAAATCTACCGTGTTTTAAACCATTTACTCAAAGCTGGATTCAAAAAGAAGGTCGATGTTTGTGTGCCACACTAATTAACAGAAAAAATAAGATGAATCGAATTTCCATCTGCGAAGCCTTGGCAAACTGGAATGAGATAGACTCATTTCTTAAATAATAACGAACGAACGGAGTGGCGAAGCACCTCAAACGGTGGCCTAACCAGGACTAACGGCCAGGAAGGTTCTGTTATGCATTTGGTGGGAAGTTACCTTTAATATGGCAACAAATTATACAACAAAACGGTGCATATTTGGCCCAAACCGGATATTGCGAGGCATATTAAATAAAGTCCGATAGTTCATATAAAATAAATAGATTTCTTTTTCCCCAATATTTAGATTTTTATAACAATGTGTGAGTAGGTGTAAAAACCACTACAAGGCATCAATCTATTTAAAACTAAAATCTATTTAAAAACCCTATACCCTATGTATAAGTTTGATACGTTCTGACTCAACTTCCCGAGCTCAGTCAATCTCGTCTGCTGATTGACACCACGGGCATCTCCTCTGCAAGTTCCCTCAACGGAGACCGTAGAGTGCAGATGTGAATGTATTAGTAAACGACAACCGATCCTCAGCGATCACCGCAATCCTCTGTGATTGCATGAACCACAGCGTTCACTTGTCGACCAAACTCCTTAGAGTACACTTAGTCGCATAACGTCTACGCGTTATTAACAGGTCTCAGCGCCGCAACTATAAATTACAAGAGGTAATTTATTTGTTGTATTAAGAAAAGATTACCACCAATAAATCCAAAATAATTAGAATAATTTAACTAATACTTTATTGTGTTTTATTTATTTGCACTTTCTTTTCCATACACCATTAATTGCTTGGGAGTTCTCTTGTTGTCGTTTGCACCCCGCTCCCAAGAGTTAATTAATTGAACACCCCCATCCACACTATATCACCACGGCGAGGAGTAGAGCAGACCACTCGCCTAAACATTTGGTCCGTACGAGCCGGATAGAAACTTGCCTTGTTGTTGCCGATCTCCATTTTTCAACTCTCGCGCTCCTTAACACCCTACACAACTACCACGGAACTATAACTTTCTGCGGTTTTTTATTCCAAGTCTGGGCAATATTTAATGATAGTTGCATCTTCTTGCCCGATTTCAGGTCAACAGCAGCCATTCCTTACACTGTCATATTTTCCGAATATTACTAATATTCTGAACAGTCCTTCTAATTACTTGTCAATATGCCCTTCACCGTGGGTTGTGTGATGATGTTTGGCTTATAAGACCGGCACGAAAAAAGATTAACAAAATAGTTATCGGTTCACTTCATCCCAAAATTATTATCTTATCATCACCGAAAATTATAGTCGTTGTCCTTGACCATAACTGGAACCTCATGGAACATTTCAAAGCAATGAGCGCTATATTTCCGCCCTCCAGTCTGGTAATGGGTTACTAATTAATATCTGAATACGTAAGCACCTTTAAATTTTAATGGACAGACGGACGGACACACATGTCTAGATCGACTCAGCTAGTCGAGATATGACGATCGGTATACTTAAGGGTGGGTCTAGGACCAATATTTCGCGGTGTTACAAACTCTTGGGGCTGCACAAAGCTATAATACCCTGACAACATAGTTGTGTAGGGTATATATATATATATATATACTTCAGCTATCGTTTCGTCGAAAATATATTACCAGGGACTATATAAATAGGTACTTTTTTCCCAAATGTAAATATTGAAATTCTCGAATCTATGTCCTTCAAATCTTCAACCAATGATAACGCTAGATTTAAGAAGCAAAATTACAATTTCTCCACTGTTCAGTTGAAACACTTATAGTACTGATAATGAAATTCAATTGCATTTCGTTCTAAACTTATACGAAAATAAGTGCCACTTTATCTATTATATAGCCTGATAGCTCTTTTTGTAATAACCTTTTTGTCAGACGTGATAAAATATAGGGTAACAAAGTGACGACACATAGCAGTGGGAAATGTATTGCATTTGTTCTGCAAATGCCTTGTTAACCTCAAAGTCAGGCATCAACGAACTTCTCATTGAGGTGGTAACGCTGGTAACGTAATTACTTCGATTTGTTACAAGAGACATTTGGGTATGAAAGGTTTTTTGTAAAGGAGCAATAAATAGCTCCTGGGGAGAATATCCCAATATATTCACCACTAATAAATAGTTTTTTTTTATAAAAACAACAAACTGGGATTCATCGTGACTATTTTGCCAAAACAAAAACATCAAACAAACGGAAACATTTAAAATATATTTTACTTGTATTATAACTTATGCAGGTTAGTATTGGGATTCGTTTTTATACCCTCCACATAAGATGGGGTGTATTTTTAATTTGTCATTCCGTTTGCAACACCTCAAAATATTAGTCGGAATTTTGATATTTCCGTTGGTTTTCCATAGTAAGTAGAGTTTTCCGAGTGTGACAACTAACCCGACGCCTCAACCCATTTTTTATTGTTTTACCCCATTTGACACCACGCGGAGGTCAGTGTCCACAATTGAGATGAAAGATGCACCTAAATAAGCCTGGACTTTGCCATTTTAATTCCAATCAGAGCCGTTCTTTCGTATCTGTCATCACCTACGTCACCTGGTGAGGATGTGCGTATTGCAAAGCTTCAGGCATCAAATAGAGGCGGTGAAGTAGATAACACAGAGAGATGACGGTGTAGGTTATACACCACCTGGCCAATATGAGGTCAGAATAGCAACTAACTGTTAAGTACAATTTGTCTAGAGGAATACAGACCCACGAAAAACACATTGACACATTCCATCTGTTCGTTGACTAGAAACCCGCATTCGACAGCCCTATCCGTTCAGAGGTATTTAAAACCATGTCAGCGTTCAGCATTCCCGCAAAACTAATACGGTTATGTAGGATAACTTTAACTGGTACAACATCAGCAATTAAAGTCGGAAAGGACCTTTCGGAGTCCTTCAATACCGAACGAGGACTCAGAGATGGTGACAGTTTGTCATGTGACCTTTTTAACATACTGCTGGAAAAGGTCATTCGAGAATAGAAAAACAGAACAGAAATTGAACTCTGTACACCAAACAGCTTAAATTACTCGTCTACGCCGATGACATCGACATAATGGGTCGAACATTGCGAGCGGTAACAGCCACATTTGAACAAATTGAGGAGTCTGCAAAAGTGGATCTGGAACGCGCAAGAAGTTCAGTAGACTCGGACAAATTGTGAAACTTGAGAACTACAGCTTCGAGGTAGTCAAAGATTTTATATACCTTGGTACCGCCATAAATAAAACTAATGGCATCAGTTTTGAAATTCGGAGAAGGATAGTGTTTTCCAAAAAATACTACTATGGTCCAAGTTAGCAATTTAGAAACAAGGCCACATCCCGCCAGACCAAACTCACACTCTACAAGACGCTGATACTACCCGTGCTGTTGTATGGATCAGAAAAATTCTCCGAAAGTTCTACGGGACGATCTGCGTCGATAATGAATATCAGCGTCGTATGAACAACGAGCTATACAATCTATGTACGGACATCGACATAGTCAGTCGTATTGAACTGCAGTGATTTCGGTTCCTAGGCCATGCTGCGCGAATGGATGAGGCCACGAATTCGATAGAAATATCAATTGGGAAAAAATGCGCACAAGACCGACGCTCCTGGAAATCTTTTTATACCCTACACAACTATGTTGTCAGGATATTATAGCTTTGTGCAGCCCCAAAAGTTTGTAACGCCGCGAAATATTAGTCTTAGACCCACCTTCAAGTACACCGATCGTCATATCTCGACTAGCTGAGTCGATCTAGACATGTGTGCCCGTCCGTCCGTCTGTCCGTCTCTCCATTATAATTTGTAAACACGATATAGGCCACAGTTATGGGCCAATCTTCACGAAATTTTGCATGTAGGATGGGTTCTTGCCAATGAAGATCCCTATTGTTTTTGGTATAGATCAGTTAATATTTAGGGGTTAAAATGACCAAATACTTAATTTTTGTCGTTTTTCTGGTCGCTCCAGAGGCCGCAATTATGGCCCGAACATCGTGGAATTTCACATGGAGAAGGGGATTGGGCCAAAGAATAACCATGGCTGTTTTGATAGAGATCGGTCAATATTTAGCGGGAAAAGTGGACCCTGGCTTTTGTGTGAAAAATTACAAAATTTGTATTCTATCGCGTATATATTTGCCCCTGAAGGACATATACCCGAGAAGTTGATAGTATATTCAAGAGGAGTAGTTGAGCTTTAAATTGATACCAATAATATTGTCATATGTACTGGGATGTGGAAGCTACTATTAAATATTTACAGGTGCTTACGTATTGAGATATTATTTAGTAACCCAATACCACACTAGCGGGCGAAAATATAGCGCTCATCGCTTTGAAATTTTCCATGACATTCAAGTTGTGGTCAAGAATAACTCCTATAATTTTCGGTGATGATCAGATAATAATTTTGGGATGAAGTGCACAAAAATTTATTTTTTTTTCAAGTCGAACTATGGGCTACAATAATAAGCCGAACATCAGAACCCAACTCGCAGTAAAGGGAATCTGGACTAGTAATAAGAGGGGCTGTACAGAATATTAGTAATATTCACAATATATGTCAGTGTAAGGAAGAGGTGCTGTTGACCTCTAATCGGGCAAGCGGGTGCAAATATCACGACATATTGCCTTGGCTCGGAATAAACTTCCGCAGAAAGTTAGAGTTCCGTGGTAGTTGTGTAGGGTATCGTATGGTCGGCCCCGTCCGACTATACTGCTCCGCTCACTGGTTTTAAGTTCGGCTTTTGGAACAAATGTTCTGTTTTGAGCAAACTAAGTAAGTATTCTGATATTTTGCACAGCCATTGCTTGTGCTATGATATTTGGTATTGCAAATGAGATATATCGGCCCACGTTTTGTTGTAGCGCCCATATAACGATTTTTGGCGATATTTTGGAGATTTTAGACACTTTTCAACCAAATTTGCTGTAGGTTAGTTTTTTGATTTCTCATTTTCTCAATGGTATTCGTTTTTCTTTTTTGGATTCTGGAAACGTTTTTAGGCGAATTGGCTGTAGTTTGGTATTTTGTTTTCTCATTGCATAGCACATGTTCGTACCAAAAATTATTAATATTGACTCAAGTTTCGGGGTAGATGTATAAGAGTTGAATGTAGCCCCCACATCTCTGTACTAAAAATGATTAATAATGACCGGTATTTTGGGAATTCTTTTCTTAACCGAAATCAAGGAAGTAGCTATTGTTGCTTTAATTGTTTTAACAAAGACTTTACTTTATATTTAATCCAAAATGCACATCAATATACAAAAATCATTTTAAGTAGGTCTCAAAATCATTTCAATAAATTTCAATGAGTAATAATCTCCTCTGAATGGTACCCAGACAACACCTTGGCCGTACTGTGAATTTGTACCGTTTAAATATTTTCCGTTGAGATTTCTAATGAAAAACAATAAAATAACAAAATATTAATTACCATTTGTTATACACAACAAAAAACCAGTGAGCGGAGCAGTATAGTCGGACGGGGCCGACCATACGATACCCTACACAACTACCACGGAACTCAAATTGTTTATTTATTCCGAGCCTGGGCAATATTTCGTGATATTTGCACCCTCTTGCCCGACTAGAGGTAAACAGCACCTCTTCCTCACACTGACATATTTTCCGAATATTTCGAGTATTCAGTACAGCTATTGTCCAGATTCCCTTCACCGTGGGTTGTGTTGTGATGTTCGGCTTTCATTTGTGGTCTATAGATCGACTCGAAAATAACACAAAAAATTAAGTCTTCGGTCCACTTCATTCCAAAATTATTATCTGATCATCAACGAAAATTATAGGCGTTGTCCTTGACCATACCTTGATCATCATGGAACATTTCAAAGCGATCAGCGCTATATTTCCGCCCTCCAGTATGGTAATGGGTTACTAAATAATTTACGAATACGGAGATACCTGTAAATATTTGGGTGTAACTCCCACATCCGAGCACATACAAAAATATAATTGGTACTAATTTAAAGGTCAACCACTCCTCTTGGATATAATATCAACTTTTCAGGTCTATGTCCTTCAGGGACAAATATATACGCTCTAGAATACAAATTTTGTAATTTTTCACACAAAAGTCAGGGTCAATTTGACCCCCTAGATATTGACCGATCTTTATCAAAACAGGCATGTTTATTCTTTGGCCCGATCCCCTTCTTCATGCAAAATTTCAAGATGTTCGAGCCATTATTGTGGCCTCTGGAGCGACCAGAAAAACCGACAAAAATTTAGTATTTGGTCCATTTCATCCCCTAAATATTAACAGATCGTTCCCAAAAACAATAGGGGTCTTCATTGGCCAGAACCCATCCTACATGCAAAATTTCGTAAAGATTGGTCCATAACTGTGGCCTGTATCGTGTTTACAAATTATAATGGACAGACGGACGGACACACATGTCTAGATCGACTCAGCTAGTCGAGATATGACGATCTGTATACTTAAAGGTGGGTCTAGGACCAATATTTCGCGGCGTTACAAACTTTTGGGGCTGCACAAAGCTATAATACCCTGACAACATAGTTGTGTAGGGTATAACAAACATGTGCATACCCTCTATGAGCACTCTTATACCACCATGCTCCGGTAAATTCAACAGCACAATTCTTTGAACAGTGGTCATTATCTTGATCTTTCGTAGTAAATTTTTGACCCAATGAATAGCTTAGGGCATCTCCTGCGGAACCACTATATTTACCCAATTCTTTGAGGATATATTTCTCAGTTTCTGTGCCAATTATAAATTGATCATAACGTGCAAAACGGCAATCATCATCCCAATCTTCGATGCGGATAAGCAATTCATAGGGACGACTATTGGTAAGTTTATTCAGCTTATCGAGACCAATGAAAAATTCTCCAGAACTATTACCAAATCCGTGTTTATAATCAGCCCAAGGGCGAAAGAAATCCTCAGAACCATCCTTCCTCCTTTGAACGACAATGTCATCTGTGGGCTTTTGATCCTGTTTTCGTATTTCTTTTACTTTCGCCTCCAATTTCTGTATTTTCTCTAGAATTCCATTTATTTGGGGATTGCCATTTAAACATAATGTCAAATTCAGTTGAGATTCTTCCAACATCTGATAATTATTTATGAACCTCAGTTGCAGTTCATTTAGTTTCTCATGTAGATCGAAAATTATATCATTTTCACTTTTGCGGGATGCTTTAATTGTTGTTATCTATAAAAAAAAGTTCACTCAGTTTTATGGCCTCTGTGAATACACTTAACTTACACATATTTACCTCTTCCATTTGAATTTCGATGAGCAAATTGGTAAATATCAAAAGAACCCCAAGTAATATTGCCATTTCCATATTCGTTCCAGTAGTTTGATCACCGTCGATAAATTATGTGGAAGAAAATATTTTTTTATTTTCCATTTGTTATGGCTTATATATCACTGTTTTATAACAATCTGTATATTTTACTATAGAAACGTAAAATGTACACGACAGAAAAAATTACTCTCAAATAGTTAATCCTACTCCAAGTGTTTAAACCCCTTTTTTAACCCATCAATTATTGTAAGATAACAATATAATCAATAAGTTTAGCGAATGAATGAGAACGGCATCACAGTGGGACAAAATAGTATCCGCCTATTATTACAAAACATACTTTTATTTATTATTATTCATTCCTAGAGTTTGTAATCTGCAGACCGAATGGATCTTTCTCGTTTCTTTTCTCGAGAGGAAAAATGAACTAAAATAGTAGACCTATTTCCGATCGTTACTTTCCAAAAGTAGTTCAAATGAACTAGTTCGTTCCGGAACAACCTAAGTCTAATCATTCCCCTCGAACGCGTTACATCTATTACAGCGTAGTTTTTGTAGAATGAGTTCTCCTAAGCTTTGACGAAAATTGTATAGGAAATTGTGACTGAACTCGATTTGGATGGAAAAACAATACGAAGTCTAATTGATTCGTTTATTTCCCCAAAGTGTTTTTAGTTCATTTTAGGTTCTTATACAACTCTTGGTATTCTAGAAAAGTTTACTTTTGTACTAATTCCACATTTTATGATTTGAGCTCTTTAGGTTCCTCAACAATTCAATAGAAATCAATTTTCCAAATTTCAGGACCCACTTCACCCAGATTAAAATTTAGAACTAGTTAGTACACACTTGTACGAATTTCAAAAACTTCCTACATATCCCAAGCCTACTCTCCAAAAGTAATCTTAATGCCACTTTTCAGGATTCCAGCTCGATCCGATAACCTAAATACAAATCATATCAAATTTAGTACAATTTAGAACATATAAGTACACATGTACAATTTCAGCCCTATCGGTTCACCCATATCAAAATTGTACAACATTTAGTACGAATTTCCAAAACATTCTAAAAATCCCAATCCTACAATCAGTTAAACACTTATTTCCCGATTTTCCAGTCCTATCGGTTCCACCAAAATTCAAACTATACTGAATTTAATACATATAAGTATAAATTTCCAAAACTACCTACATCATACAATTAACAAAAACCTTATTTCTTAAAGGAATTACAGCCCTATCAATTCACCCAAATCTTAATTGTACCAAATTATGTATCATTAGTACGAATTAGTACGAATTTCAAAAACTTCCTACATATCTAAATTCTACCCCCATAAGCGGTTCAAAGTCCAAACTTCAGGATGCCAAATCTATCGCTTTACCTAAATCCGAATTGTATCATTACCATTACCGTGGGTATTATCCCTTAAATACACATTTCCAAAACTAAATCTATTTCACAATCCTACACACCAACAGTAATCTTATTTCCATATTTATGTGTTGTAGCTCTATCGATTGACACTAATCTAATTTGTACCAAATTTAGTACACATTAGTTGTCATTTTTCACAGAAAAGTCAGGGTCCATTTGACACGCCAAATATTGACAGATCTTTAGTACATATTAGTTCGAATTTTCAAAACTTCCTACATACCTCAATCCTACAATTATCCTAACTCCTAATTTCTGGATTCCAGCTCTATCGGTGCAACTAAAATTCAAATTGTACCATTTAGTACACATTAGTACGATTTTCCAAAACTTCCTACGTGCCCCAATCCTACACCCCAACAGCAATTCTAACTCTAAACATCAGGATTCCAGCTCTATCGGTTCACCCTAATCCAAATTGTACCAAATTTAGTACCATTACCATCAACCAATAAGTACAAAATTTCCAAAATTACATTCATACCTCAATCCTACAAAAACACTTCATTCTTACAAAACCAGTTCATTATAATGGCTCTAAATTTCAACCTTGATTCGCATTCCAAATTTAAAATTTTTAGTTCTATCTGTTTAAATGCACATGAAATTGTACCAAATTTAGTACATTTTAGTACTTTTCGATACATATAGTTCGTATTTCCAAAAAAAACTTTAGTTCTTCTATTCTAAACTCCACCAGCTATCCTCATTCCAAATTCGAGCTCTACCGACTCGCCAAATACAAATGATACCACATTTAGTACTTTTAAGATTCTAGCTTCAGTCATTTCATATAGGGGTTTATGTATCGTTAAGTCAGTCAATCACTTTACTCTTTTATTAGCAAAGATGAACCCTTTGAGGGGGAGGTACCGAAGGAGAGGGCCGACGGGTCCTATCTTCGGATCATCTCCTAGATCAAGGATTGGTAAAGATAATAGGTTGTGTAAAGTTTGATTCACATCGGACATTCCATTCGCTTAATATTGGATTTATAAATATCGAAAATGTTAACCCTTTGTGGGTAATATAGCAAAAGGAGCAATGGGTCCCATCTTCGACATTGACCTAGGCTCGTTGGAGATAATAGGTTGTATAAAGTTTGGTTTATATCATTTTTTGCACAATTTTTATAATTTTATTGGGGAAGTACCAGAAGAGGTCCCCTTCTTCGAACTTTAACTAAGTTTAGAAGAAATATTACGACGTGCAAAGTTTGAATCAAATATGTTACTCCATTCGAGAGTTATCGTGAGCCCCAGCCGGTCAAACAAACGGAGGGACATCTGTAAATCGATTCCAAATTGTCTGAAATTGATTTGATCCAAAGAAACATGGGGTCTAAAACCAATATTTCGATGAGGCACTTTTTTCACATAAGGCTGAGGGAAATTCAGGGGCTATAATCGTTCAAGTCTTCTGTTCTTCTCCACGCGTTAGAGTCGTCATTAATTATCCAAAAATTTTCGTTTAAAACGAAATATTTTTATTTAGAACCAGTAAGGAAAGCAGTAAAGTCGGACTGGGCCGACTATATGATACCCTTCACCACTTTGGGTATATTCTACATATGTACCCTAACAGACGCGATATAACGCGTTTTTGTTATATATATATATCTGAACCGATTTCAGGGAAACTTGCCAGAGACTAATTTATATTACATCAGTACGTTGTGTCAACCGGCCTAGCTGTGGATCTTTTCACGAAGCTTAGCAACATCATTCTAGATTTAATTCAGTACCCTATACCAAAATTCGTGCAAATCGAAAGACATGTAGGGTCTTTGGTGCACCAATTACCTTAAATCGGATGAAAAATTATATGGGAGCTATATCTAAATCTGAACCGATTTTTACGAAACTTGGAAGTCATCATTCTCGATTTTATTCATTACTCTGTGCCAAATTTCGTGCAAATCAAAAGATTTCCAGGGATTTTAGTGGACTATTTACCTAAAATCGGGCGAAGCCATATATGGGAGCTATATCTAAATCTGAACCGATTTTCACGAAACTTTGCACACATCATTCTGGACTTAATTTAGTACACTGTGCCAAAATTCGTGCAAATCAAAAGATTTCCAGACTCTTTAGTGGACTATTTACCTAAAATCGAAAGATTATAGGGACTTTGGTAAACAATTTACCTTAAATCGGACTAAGATATATACGGGAGCTATATCTAAATCTGAACCGATTTTCACGAAACTTTGCACACATCATTCTAGACTTAATTTAGTATGCTGTGCCAAATTTCGTGCAAATCGAAAGATATATAGGGACTTTGGTGCACCATTTACCTTAAATCGGACGAAAATATGTATGGGAGCTATACCTAAATCTGAACCGATTTTTCCCAATTTCAATAGGGTTCGTCCTTGGGCCGAACAAATACGCTGTGCCAAATTTCATCCAATTCGGATCATAAATGCGACCTGTACTTTGTTTACAATTTAACATTGACAGACGGACGGACGGACGGACATGCATAAATCGACTCAGAAAGTGATTCTATGCATATTCTCAAAAGGAACCATGGGTCTATCTCGATTATTTTTGCCTGTTACAAACATATGCACAAAGACATAATACCCTGTACCACAGTGAAGGGTATAAAAATATCCTTTCTATAAAATTTTATCGATTATCGATTCCATTATTTTCGCAACAATTGTGGTTCCAAATCATCGATTGTTTTTCAATACAAATTACAATTTATTTTGTTTCTTCAATTACAAAGAAATTAAATACCTCTTTTCAGAGTAGGTAAAATTATAAAAATTTTATTAATTACCAATTAATCACAAACAAAATTCCGTTCCCAATTAAGTTGGACGCAAAATCATTTCAACAAATTTCAAAGAATAATAATGCCCCTTGAATGGATCCCAATCAACGCCCTGGGCAAAAACAGTGGTTTTGCCGCCTTTAATATAACGTCCATTGAGATTACTGCAAATAGACGCAACAAATCGATTATTAGATACTCTTTATGTAAAATATTATGTATTCTTACCTTCTGTGGCAATCCTTATACCACCATGCCCCGGTAAATTCAACAGCACAATTTTTATTCCAAACATCATTATCTTGATCTTTGGTCGTGAATTTCTGACCCAGCGAATAACCCAAAGCATCACCCGCCGAACCACTATATTTACCTAATTCCTTGAGCACATATTTTTCAGCTTCTGTGCCAATTATAAATTGATCATAACGCGCATAACGGCAATCATTTTCCCAATCTTCCATAACAATGAGTAACTCATAAGGACGGGAATTGGTAAGTTTGTTTAACTTATCCAGGCCAATGAAAAATTCTCCTGAACTATTACCAAATCCCTACTTATAATCAGCCCAGGGACGAAAGAAATCCTCTGAACCATCAACACGTCGCTGAATGACAATATCACTTGGTTTCTTTATGCTTGTTCGTAGCTCCTTAAAGCCCGTTTCCAATTTGTGGATTTTCTCCAAGACACCATTTAATTGGGGATTTCCATTTAAACAATTGGTCAAATTCGTTTGAGTTTCCAACAACTTTTTGTGGGTATTTGCAACATTTTCCTCCAATTCATTTAGTTTTCCATGGATATCATAAATTATAAGACTTTCATTTTGTTTGGATGCCGCAAACGATGAAATCTAAAATAAAAATAAAAATTTGTATATAATTAAAAATACATAATTTAAATTCGAATTTGTACCTCTTCCATATGTATTCCATTGCATATACTTAATAGTATCCAAAGCAAACAATAACCCCTGGTTTTAATTGCCATTTGTATTCCAATTTGTTTTCTTGTGTCCCGATGTTGATGCCAGCACTCTCTTGCATATACTGCTGGTCTCTTGTATTTCTGCTGAGCTTTTTATATTCTCATCTTCTGGCCGTTTTGTTTATTCATTTGATTTGTTCTTGGCCATTAAAAAGAAAAAAAATCCCCTTTTTCCAGGTATATTTTCTTGTCCTACCGTCCACTTACCGTCTATCTCTCTATTGCTCTGAATGTAATTAATTTGCCAAAGATATGGGATGGACGGAATTGTATACATTTCATTAAATAGCATCGCACAGTGTGTTCGGATTTAATACAAACTACAGTGAGCGGAGCTGTATAATCGGACGGGCCGACCATATGATACAGAACATAACCACCACGAAAATCCAACTTTCTATGGTTCTATTCTGAGCCTGGAAAATATTTAACGATATTTGCACCCTGTTGGCCGATTATATGTAAACAGGTTCACTAATCTAACCCTGGCATATTTTCCAAATTTTGCTTTCCCGAGGTAAATATTTACGTCGTAAAATAAAAAGTTTGTTCGCTTTAGGTTTCGGTTCATTTACCCTCGGAATATTGACCAATCATCATCTAGACAATCTTTCTAAGTATTTGGCCAGATTCCTTTCACCATGTAAAATATGTGTAGTTCTGCATATAATATTGACCTCTGAGCGACTAGAAAATTTGAAAAAAAAATTCGGTTCATTGCACCCCTAAATATCATCTCAACATCACAAATTATAGACGTCGTCATTGACCATAACCGGAAATCAGCGCGAAATTTCGGCCCATTGGTGGGGTAATAAATAATATCATTACACATATCCACCTCCGAGTACATACAACAATATAATTTGTATCGATTTAAAGAACGAACACTCTTCTAGGATATACTATCAGCTTCTTGGGTCTATGCGCTTCAGGTGTAAATATATACACCACAGAATACAATTTTGTCATTTTTCACACATTAGTCTGATTCTATGTGATCCGCTAAATATTCACCGATCCTTATCAAAACAGTTAAAAACCGACAAAAATAAAGTTTTTGGTTCATTTGGGTACATTAACGATACTTAGCGTTAAGTGCGTACCATTTTTATGCAGTGATTTCATTTACATGCAGGTTGCGGCAGGTAAGTAATTTAAGATATCTGCACTTTTGACTTTCCTGCACTGAAATAATTTCAAGTGTTGTTTGAGCAGGTAAGTCTATTCTTCTTAAACATTTTTTTTTAATTCACGCCTTATAGTTTTATCAATTCTTTTGAAGCATTTCTTTAAAAATCCATACCTTATAGGTCCATAACTCACCATACAGGTCCATAAAATTGTATGACATTCCAATAAATAAAAAAAAATAGTAAATAAAAAACATAATCTTCAAAGAACGCAAACTATCTACTGAGCGAATCGGAGAGCAATGAACTATTAAACGAACGACCGAACTAAAATGCCAGCTGAATAATAGAGCTTTGAACGATTGAATTACTGAACTAAAAGTCCGAACTAGTTCACACAAAAGAGCTGAACTAAAACGAGCGATCAGCTAACTTAACTAGATAGAGCAACTTTATGAAAACATTTTTCATGTGACGATTCGCAATACAAAATTACTAGTAAACTTGATCCTGTAACGTGACCGTTTCATACATTATGTTATGTTAATGTCACTACCCACGTTAATGTTAGTAGTAAATAACTTCTAACAGTAAACCTAAGCGGCATCATTAGCTGTGTTCTTCAACTTCACTGCATTAATCGACAGACACTTTTCTTGAAGTACACAATAATTCTCATTCACTTGGAAGCACCATACGGATATACGTTCAATATTTCCATGCCAAAGGGGTCGATCTCGGACGTTAACGAACTACGGGTGAAGAAGATGTGTGGCTCGTCCGCAGTTTAGAGCTGTAAAACATCGATATTCCAAACATTAGATAGTTCCGAAATTTCATTTCAAACTATCGATTATTTTCCACCACTATTTGGGAATGAAAATGACAGGTTTTGTGTCTGTTGAAATATTGCAGAAATATAAAGAAGAAACAAACAACATATTAAAAAGAAACAATTTATTAATAAAACCACAATGGAGCAGTACTATAGATTCAAAAAGCAAATGCCGAATCGACAAACACAAAATGGAAGGTATGTATGTATATTTTTGACTTTAGTTAAAGCGATGATATTAATAATTTTTGTAACACATTGTAGACATTTTCTTGATTTTGAACATTTGATTGTGTCGCAAATCTCACCTGAAAATAAATCACATAATTCATCTTAATACATACGTGGAATGGTATATGAAAGTAAATATCAGCTGCCCCTGCTTCAAAGAGAACCACAGTCAGTGGTTTTAATATTGTTGGAATTTGGAATTTTTTCGCGCTTCTGAAAAATGTACGTGCTTCTAAGAAAATTTATAATGTTCGGTTTTGGATAATACTTTTAAGGATCGATGCGTATTTACTGTCGACAGTATTAACTACATATTTATTAAATTTATTTTTTGTCAAAAATACGTATTTTACAATACCCTTTTTCACAAACACAAAGTCGAAAAGGCGCGCAAATTATATTGGCGTATTGGCAAAACATAACCTATGTTATTTTGTCCGATAATATCGATAGCCAAAACTATCAATCGATATTCAATATTAAAATAAGAATCGATACTATCGATATTGCTATCGATTTTCTTACAGCTCTACCGCAGTCTCGTATACTGGTAAATGTTAACAACGTTTCGGCCTCGCTCATAGCCAGCTCCAAACGAACCCTGACAAATCCGAACCATCTGACCAACAACGAGCCGACATCAGCTAGTCGAGTAAAACCAAGGAGCCGAATATCTTCGAGCCGATTGTAGCCAGCCGATCTCCATCGAACTGACAGCAGCTAGCCTAGTATCTTCGAGCCGACTGTAGAGCTGAACGGATATAGCTGAAGTCCTCAAATTGGGAATTAAAATACCAACAGTGTAGGATTGAGGTACGAACAGTACTTAATTTGGTCAAACTTGGATTCGGGTGAACGGAGAGACCTGGAAACCTAACATTAGTTGAATTGGGATATGAAGGCATCGTACTTACGTATACTAAACGGAAAACAGAAAGGAAATTTTTTTTTACATGGTACGGAAGAAGCGAAATAGTACTACATTTGGAACAATTTGCATGTTGGAGATATGATAGAGTTGGAATCCTGAAATGTGTACTAAACTATAATGCCATTTGTTTCTGTGTGAACGGATGGAGCTGGAATCCCTAAATGTGTACTTAAGGTTATTATTGGACGGCATGACTGAGGTAGTTTTGAAAATTCATACTTATGGGTACGAAAAGCACTAAATTTAGGACAATTTATGCTTTGATAAAAGGGTAGAACTCGAATTCTTAAAATTGAAAAGTACTCAATAGTACTAAATTTGGTACAATTAGAATTTGGTGGAATTTAGATTACTGCTGAAGTGTAGGGTTGAGCTATGGGGACAACTTTGGAAATCCGAATTTATGTGTACTAATAGTACTAACTGCACCAAATGTAGAACTACTTGGATTTGGGTGACGGAGAGAGCTAAAAACCTAAAATTTGGAATGTGGTTTGTGGTACTAAATTTAGTGGTGTTGGTATAGAGGTAGTCTTGAAAATGTGTACTATGCGTTCGAAAAATGCTGAATGGAACTAAATGTGAAACCTGTAGGTATTTGCTAAAATATATAACTGGAATTCTGTTTATTTTTGAATCTGTGTAATGAAAATAAGAAAGAGTTTTCGTAAATTAGTGTTTGTGTTTGAAGAGTACTAGATGGTAATAAATTTGATATTAGATGTAGGAAAAGAGGTGGAATTTAGAATTATAGTATGAAATATTATTATTTGTTATTCCCTTTCGGCATATACAATTTTATAAAATATGGTATGTTCGAATAAAAAAATTGGAATGATAAAATGTAGAATGTCTGTAAAAGATTTGCAAATTATGAAAATTCCCCATTTGATCACTGTAATTCATTTGAAACACTTAATTATACTGATAATGAATTTAAAATTAAATTTTGTCACCGGTGCGGAAATGAGCTTCACCTTATCTAACGCTTCTGGTTGTTTCGTCTGACGAGGTAGAAGATTGTAAAAAACACAATTTGATATATTTTAAAAATATATTGAATAAAATTATTCATGTGGATACTGACCTACACTCATTCGCTAAAGGTGCATACAATTAAAAAAAAAATCAGAATAGGTTCTATTTATATAATTTTAAATGTTTGGGGTTTCATATGAAAGCGAAATCGGGTTCTAGTACTATAAATGCCATTCTGGTTATCTAGGTCCAGGCCAAGCTTTCTTATAAAAAAAAGTTCCGTATAAGTGTTTTGACATAAACACTTTTCCCCCACAGAAAATGTTCATTAAATGACAATGGGTTCTTGCAGAAGTATATGGACGTATTCCAATCTTAATGTAGTTCCAATGGTAACGACCGATATTTCTGTATATATAATTGTAGATTGTATTTATCAGTACTGGTTAGATTGAAAAGGGTGTTTTAGAAAAATTATATTATACAACAAAATTATGTAATATATAAACAGTATTTATTAATATATCAAAACTATTTATTAATTAATATAAAAAAATCACAGAGTATAATAAAAATTTATTGCAAATATACATATAATTTTACATAAAGTATCTCCTTACACTTAACGTTTAAAACAACAGCCACAGTTGGGTATCAATGAAAGTTCTATCGATTTCAAGGAGTAGCTATAGCCCTTGAAAGTTAACCAGATAATGCCTTTGCCGAACTCATTACTTCCATAGAGACCATTGGGATTCCTTAGGGAATATTAATATTTTTCATATTTAATGAAATCTTAAAAAAAAACATAAAACACACACAAACTTACGTTTGATGACAATCCTTATACCAAAACGCACCCGTATAACGCACCGCACAATTACCCGACCACACATCATTGTCACGATCGTATGTTGTGAAATTTTGTCCCAACGAAAATGTCATTGAATCGCCAGCCGATCCGGTATACTTACCCAATTGTTTGAGGTTATAATTCTCACCTTCAGAGCCCACAATAATTCCATCATAATGGGCATAACGTCGATTACCCTCCCAATCGTCCATGACAATCAGCAACTGAGTGGGACAACTATTTGTGAGGCGATTTATTTCATCCAAACCAAGGAAAAACTCCTTAGAAGGATCACCGAAGCCAACTTTATAATCCGACCACGGACGATAGAAATCGACCGAACCATCGATACGTCTTTGTATAACCGTTTGCTGGCAATCCTGTTGGCAGGATTGCATATATATGCCTTTAAAACCGCTCAAAAGCAATAACAACAAACAAATTGTTGGCGTTGATTTTGCAGATGGTTCCATGTTAAGAGTTTTTTTATTTCGGAGTGTTGTTGCTTGGTTTCCGTTAAGGGAATTATTGAAACTCAATGTATTTTCTATGCCAAGTAGGTGTTTTTATACCCAACAACACTTTGAGTGTTTCGAAATTTCGTTTATAACTGTTTATCTACCGATGGCGAAGAAAACGTGCCACAAACATTAGGGTAGTGAACTGTAAAGATAAGTCTTTGGGACCCAAAGACATGTGTTCTGTGGCTAATAATAAAATTTGTAATCAGATTAGGCGAGTGAGTCCATATACCCTAGGTCAGTGCTCCCCATATGGGAGTTTTAAATTTTTATAATGTTTATTTAATTATCTGGAATAGAATCATAAAAAAGTTTAAAAAATCTGTACAAGAGGTCTATAACAATGATTTTCTTAAAGAATGATTTTTAAGTCTATATAATTGGATTTTAAAAATTACAATTTCGTCATGGAATATAAGTGCATTTTTTAAGGAATATTTTCTACAGGGAATATAAGCTTGGATTTAAAGAATATATTTTAAAAGTGCTATAATCGTCGATATTTATTTTTTTAAATATTACTATAGCGTGCATTTTCCACACCTGAGACCCCTTTAAGTATATATTTTAATGGAGTCTGTTTGAAGGGGTTTTCAAAGAGAACTACATATCGACGCCTCCGAACCATAGTATGCTAAGTCGACTTAGCATGTCTTAAAGTTCTTAACGTTTTTAGATACTACGCTCCTTAATTTAAATTCACTGAAATTTTAGTAATCATCGGCCAATCCAAATCAAAGTTATAAGCAAAAATGTACTTAGCATGGCACGTACGTTAAAAGAAACTTCCATACTTTGAAAGCTTCTACTGAAAAACTCACTTTTCAGACTTAGCATACTATGGTTCGGAGGCGTCGATATGTCAGAAGATCTAATTAACATACACACCAATATTAATCATAATTAAAATTTGAGTAGCATTTAGTTCCTTTGTTATCTTATAGTACGTACTTCAAAAATTACCACCATATGTATCCAACACTACACACCAATTCTCATCGTAACACAAATCTAGCTCTATACTAATTTTGGTAAACTTTTTCCTTTCGTACTCTTGTAGCGCTTATTTCCAAAACTAATTCCAAATTTGATGATTCGAACTCCATTGGATTATAGAAATCTTAACTTTACCAAATTTAGTATTTCTTAATTTCAGGATTCCAGCACGATCGTTTCACTCAAATATAATTGTACCAAATTTAGTACAATTTAGAACATATTAGTATAAATTGCCAAAACTTAAAACCTACATAGCCCAATCCAACAGTGATCCTAACTTCAAATTTCAGGATCCCAGCTCTATCGGTTCACCCAAATCCAAATTTGGTACCATTTACAAACTTCCAAAACTTCCTACGAACTTCTCAAAACTACCTTATCATACAACTAATGGAAGTCTTTTTTCCCGATTTCAGGATTCCAGCTCTATCGGTTTACCCAAAATTCAAATTTTAATAAATTTAGTACACTTTAGTATGCATTTGATCCTAACTCCAAATTTCAGGATCCCAGCCCTATCACCCAAAATTCAAATTGTACAAAATTTAGTACCTATTTGTACGAATTACCAAGACCACATCCATACCTCAACAGTAATCTTATTTCCATGTCACGGTTCACCCTAATCCACATTTGGTATATTTTAGTACACATTAGTAAAAATTTCCAAAACTTCCTACATATCCCAATCCTATTTAAATCCAAATTTAAATTGTACCTAATGTAGTACACATAAGTACGAATTTCCAATATTTCTTACCTTGTCCAATTCTACACCCAACAGTGATCCTAACTTCAAATTTCAAAACTGCAGCTCTATCGGTTCACCCAAATCTAAATTTGGTACCATTTCTGGATTCCTGCTCTATTGGATCACCCAAAATTTCAATTGTACCAAATTTACTACACATTAGTTGGAATTTCCGAAACATCCTACATATCGCAATCTACGCCTTAGAAAAGATCCTAACTCCAAATTTCACCCAAAATCAAAATTGTACCAAATATAGTACCCTTTTAGTACTTATCGTACATGTCGCATATCATACATATCGCAACACTCCGACGGTTATGTTAATTTAAAATTTCAGGATTCCAGCTCCGTAGCTTTTACAAAATTCAAATTAAACCAAATTATACCTCCTTATATAGACCCTACTTCTGGACCTTAATTCGCTTTTCAATTTTCAAGCTTTTAGCTCTATCCTTTCACATACTACGAAACCGTACCGAATTTAGTACATTTTAGTACTTTTATAGTTCGAATGTCCAAAAACCCTTTCGACCGGTTCGACAACTGGTACACCATTTAGTACTTTTCGTGCCGAGTGAACTAATGAGCACCATCTTCGGACTTGGTTTAGGCTTGGTAAAGTCCGTTCGCATCATATTATAAAATCAATTTTTCTTCACAATTTCGACCATTTTTGGGGGAGGTACCAGAAGGAGTGGACCGATATACCCCATCTTCGAACTTGAACTAAGTTCGGAGAAATATTACGATGTTCAAAGTTTGGTTGAAATCGGTTACTCCGGACGGACCTTTGTAAATCGACTCCAAATTGTCTGAAACGGATTTGGTCCACAGAATCATGGTGTCTAAAATTAATATTTCGATGAAGCACACTTTTGCCGTATCAAACTGTGTATACCCTTATTAGCCATAAATATGAGGGTATAATAAAATTCTATGTCGGCTGAAAAATTCTATGTCGGCTCTATCCTTCTTTTGAAATCACGATAGAGTTTTGAAATTTGCTAATTTGACAATAGTTCTAGGATATTTGATACTGTGATACAACCAGCAATTTTCAATAATTTTAAGGTAGTTCCCATATAATAGTGCGTCAACCAAATTTCCTGTAATTTTATAATTTGGTTACTTATTGGGTGCCAAATGTTCGTACTAAAAATTATCGATATCGGTTTACGTTTTGATATAACCCCTATATAACAGATGCGGCAATTTCGGTAGTTTAGACCAATTTCCTATCCTGGAATGTCTGAAGTGTGGTATTTCGTTTTTTCATGGCGGTTATAAGTCTCGATCGAAGTCCCAATGTTTTCGTTTATTTTATTATCTCATATTATACCAATAATTGTACTCCTAAAAGTATGCTATATAGTTTTTGCATTATCGTTTCATTCGAAATAACATGAGGTTTAGGTTAGTTTCTATGCTTGTTTTTTCTTTTTTACAAAAATGAAATTACTATTATTAAATGATTGAAAACCATTTTATAAAAAGTGTATATCAACACGGCAGTCATCTGCAAAACTTCAGCAACCACAATTAGATCTCAAAATAAGTTCAATCGATTTCAAAGAGTAAGTCCAGCCCCTAAATGTTAACCAGTTAATGCCTTTACCAAATTCATTATTTCCATAGAGTCCATTAGGATTGCTACAAAATAGGGAAATTCATAAATTATTTAATTAATTATTATTAATTATATAATCATAGCTCTCAAAATTTACGATTGATGACAATCTCTGTGCCACCAGGCACCCGTATAGCGAACAGCACAATTTTCCACCCATATATCGTTGTTACGATCATGGGTGGTGAAATTTTGTCCCAATGAATAGGTCAATGAATCTCCCGCTGATCCGCTATAATTTCCTAATTGTTTCAATCTGTAATTCTCCGCTTCGTTACCCACAATAATTAAACTATAGTGGGCATAACGTCGATCACCCTGCCAATCTTCCATTACGACCAACAACTGATTAGGACGATTGTTGGTTAAATAATTGATGGTGTCCAAACCAATGAAAAATTCTCTACTGCGATTGCCAAAACCACGTTTATAATCCATCCAAGGACGATAGAAATTCTCTGAACCATCTATGCGCCGTTGTATCACAATCTCCTGACAGGTATGCCAACTTTGCATTGATATGCCGTGGAAATTAATTACAAATAAAACGATTAGTAGTGTAATTGATATTTTTAATGGACATTTCATTATAATTGAAATTTCTTTCTTTCTGATTTTCTTAAATATTAGTTTTATGGTGCAGGCCAATAATTCGACTATACACATTTTCTGTTCGCACAACTGTTTTTATATGGAAACGCAACATCTGTTCAATAAGCATATATCTTCCGATTGAATGACTTTTAATCCATGTTAAAAACGTGCCATTGCAAGGTTAGTGAACTTTTTTTTATACCCTTCACCACTCTGTGGTACAGGGTATTATGTCTTTGTGCATATGTTTGTAACAGGCCAAAATAATCGAGATAGACACATGGTTCCTTTTGAGAATATGCATAGAATCACTTTCTGAGTCGTTTTATGCATGTCCGTTCGTCCGTCCGTCTGTCGATGTAAAATTGTAAAGAAAGTACAGGTCGCATTTATGATCCGAATTGGATGAAATTTGGCATAGGTCACTTATTTGGCCCAAGGACGAACCCTATTGAAATTGGGAAAATCCGGTTCAGATTTAGATATAGCTCCCATATATATTTTCGTCCGTTTTAATGTAAACGGTCCCTATATATCTTTGCACGAAATTTGGCACAGCGTAATGAATCAGGTCTAAAATGATGTGTGTAAAATTTCATAAAAATCTGTTCAGATTTAGATATAGCTCCCATATATATTTTCATCCGATTTTATGTAAATGGTGCACCGAAGTACCTACATATCTTTCGATTTGCACGAAATTTGGCACATCGTAATGAATTAGGTCTAGAATGATGTGTAAAATTTCATGAAAATCGGTTCAAATTTGGATATAGCTCCCATATATATATTCGTCCGATTTTAGGTAAATGGTGCACCAAAGTCCCTATATATCTTTTGATTTGCACGAAATTTGGCACAGCGTAATGAATTAGGTCTAGAATGATGTGTGTTAAGTTTTCTGAAAATCGGTTCAGATTTGGATATAGCTCCCATATATATTTTCGTCCGATTTAGGGTAAATGGCGTACCAAAGTCTCTATATATACTTCGATTTGCACGAAATTTAGCATAGCGTACTGAATTAAGTCGAGAACGATGTTTGTTAAATTTTGTGAATAGCGGTTCATATTTAGATATAGCTCCCATATATATGTTCATCCGATTGTAGGTAAATAGTGCACCAAAGTCCCTTTATATGCTTCGATTTGCACAAAATTTGGCTTAGCGTTTTAAATTGGCTCTAGAATGTTGAGTCGTGAGTTTCGGGAAAATCGGTCGAGATTTCGATATAGCTCCCATATATATGTTCGTCCGATTTTATGTAAATGGTGTACCAAAGTCCCTATATATCTTTTGATTTGCACGAAATTTGGCACAGCGTAATGAATTAGGTCGAGAACGATGTTTGTTAAATTTTGTGAATAGCGGTTCAGATTTAGATATAGCTCCCATATATATGTTCAACCGATTGTAGGTAAATAGTGCACCAAAGTCCCTATATATCCTCGATTTGCACGAAAGTAGGCACAGCGTACTGAATTAAGTCTAAAACTATGTGTGTTAAATTTCGTGAAAATCGGTTCAGATTTAGATATAGCTCTCATATATATTTTCGTCCGATTTTAGGTAAATAGTGCACCAAAGTCCCTTTATATACTTCGATTTGCACAAAATTTGGCATAGCGTACTGAATTAAGTCTAGAAAGATGTGTGTTAATTTTCGTGAAAATCGGTTCAGATTTAGATATAGCTCCCATAAATAAATTATATTTTTAACAACGCGGCGTGCCGAATAGCGTGTATCAATTTTGCTATAAATCGTTTTCCATAAATTTTCCTCATGTTACGAAGACGGCTTTAAAACTGCTGTTGGAGAAAGAAGTAATATATACAAGTGGTGAAGGGTATCATATAGTCGGCCCAGTCCGACTTTACTACTTTCCTTACTGTTTTTTTTTTTTTTTTTTTGATATAATATCAGGAGATTATGTATGAATATATATATATATATATATATATATCGCTGGCTTAACACGTAAAGGCAATAGGTCAATAATTTACAATTTTACATGAGAGATAAACAGTCAGTCAGGACTTAGCGCCTTTCTTCTCAGAATATGTTTTTTTCATAGAACATATTCTCCATTTATCTCATCCGTCCTCCTTATTTTTTCCGTAAATTAAATACCACAGGACAAATTTCTTCATATCTAAATATTCTACAAAGATGACGTATAACGTCTTTGATTGGCTTTAACATGGCAAAACCCAGGCTTATATTGTCACCTGGGGTAGCTACTTGCAACACCCGTTATATGTGCCGCAAGTTCACCCATGAGAACTATAAAAAAATGCATTGATGCGTCGGGTTACTTGTCCACACTCGGAAAACACCGCCTACTATGAAAAAGCAACGAAAATGTTGACGACCCCATCAAACGTATGAAGGTCCACGATCTACGATTCTACATCAGTCTCATTTGTGCCCATGCTACGACCGAAGACAAAGATGAGCAGACTTCAATCATATTTTACGAGCGCTTAGAAACAACATGTGACCGCTGCCCTGGCCATGATATTAAAATTCTACAAGGAGATTTTAATGCAAAAATCGGAAGGGGAAATATATTTATTTGGCCATAAAATTAAGTCTCAATGAAGAAGCATCCAACAAAGGCATGAGGTTGATTGACTTCGCGGGAGCAGAAAACATAGTAGTTAGCAGCACCACAAGGCTACCTTAACATGTTGTGATAGACGGAAGGCATTAATCCAGCGTTTCAGACGTTCAATCGATCCGAGGAACGAATATGGATTCGGGTCATTCCTTGCAGAAGCCAAGGTTCGCACTCGGCACTTCGAAACTCGACGTCGAAAACCTGCAAACACCACAGATAGCAGAAGCCTACTCCGCTCTATGAGTATTTACCCATCTGCTTGAAGAAAACACTGCTTGTCCCGATAATAATTTAGAAGCACAATGTCAAAGAATTGCCCACTCCCAAAAGCAACACATGAGTACCAAAAACCAATATAAGGAAACCCTTGGTATGATCAGGAGTGTCGTAAAAGACGACGACGTTTTTCACCTTAGTAGCATTACGACTCGTAATGCTACTTAGGAGAAAAGGTATAGAGTGCACACCACCCATATAGAGTGCACACCACCCAGCCATGTTGAGGTCAGTATAGCAATCGGCTAAAGAATAATATAGCAGCAAGTGCCGATGGGTTACCAGCCGAACTTTTCAAGTCCGGTGATCAGATGCGTGTCAGGAGCATGCACCAGCTGATTAGTAAAATTTGGCACACCATCCCGTGTCCCGTGCACAAAAAAGTGAAGACGATATGTACCAATTATAGAGGAATTAGTCTCCTTCTCATCGCATATATGTAGCGTGCTGTGTGAACGACTGAAACCAATGGTCAATGATTATTATCCACCATAGACCAGATATTCACACTGAGCCAAATCCTGGAAAACATATCGACACATTCCACATATTCTTCGACTATAAAGCCTCATTCGAAAACCCTATCCGTTAAGAGGTGTTTAAAGCCATGTAGGATAACATTAACTGGCACAGGGTCAGTCGGAAAGGACCATTCAATACCGAACAAGCGTTCAGAAAAGGTGACAGCTTCTCATGTGATCCTTTCAACATTCTGCAGAGAAAAGTCATACGAAAACAGAAATGGCATTCTGTGAGAAACACATATTCGCCTATGACTTCGACATAATGGGTCTAACATGAGGCGGCTTTTGAAGTGTTTGAGAGAAAAATTCTCCGAAAGATCTACGGGCCGATCTGCGTCGACGGTGAATATCGGGTCCATAGTTCTTCGCAATTATACTTTCTATAGAATACCTCCTAAGCCAAGAATTATCTGAATATATAGAAGATTTTAAAGGGATCTTTAATCTATAGAAGCACCTTCTATGAAGGTCATGCCTTTAAAGAAGATCTATAACGGACTTCTTTATGAAGAAGACGTCTCTACAAAAGAGTTCCCAAGTGTGTATAATCTATACTGGACTTCATATGAGGCTTATCTTAACGTCGCCTCTCAAGGAACTTCTCTCTGTAGAATATTTCACAACGGTTTTTTAATTTATATAGAAGACCCCTCAAAAGCTTTCGAAGTTTCAATATCATATTCTTTAGTCTTTCTGTTCGTCAATTTATAAACTCCTTGGCTCTTCGATTTAGAGCTCTTCGAATGTTTTATTTATGGTACGAATTTCCACTAACCCAGCATTATCAAACACATTCGAACCAATAATCTTACTGACCCACATACAAAATTTCCGCATTTTAGCTTCAGCACTTTCTTCTGGACGTTGATTATTGGCTACTTCATTTTAGTACTTTTCGTACCCTTATAGTACAATTTTCATACACCTATGTTATATTACTGACCCTCACACAATTTTTTAGGATTCTACCTTCAGCCATTTTCTGTGGCGTTGATTATCAAGATTACTACCTTTTCGCATCCTTATAGTACATCACATAATCCGTTCGTGTCTAAGCATTTTTTTCTTCTAAATAATAAATTTTCTATACTGTTAGCAAAATCATTTATTCCGTATTCTAGGAATCATCTGATGCATCAAAAAATTCCAACTTAAGTATGTCTAACATTTAGTAAAAAACGACAGACATCTGCGAAACATCAGCAACCACAATTGAATCTCAAAATAAGTTCAATCGATTTCAAAGAGTAATTCCAGCCCCTAAATGTTAACCAGTTAATGCCTTTGCCAAATTCTAAATTTCCATAGAGACCATTAGGATTGCTAAAATATAAATTAATTAATACAATTATTTACTATTATATATTTACACAGAATATCCCCAAACTTACGCTTGATGACAATCTCTGTACCACCAGGCACCCGTATAACGTACAGCACAATTTTCCACAGCTATATCATTGTCACGATCGTGGGTGGTGAAATTGTATCCCAATGAATAGGTTAATGAATCTCCCGCCGATCCGCTATATTTACCCAATTGTTTCAATCTGTAATTCTCCGCTTCGTTACCCACAATTATTAGACTATAGTGGGCATAACGTCGATCGCCCTGCCAATCTTCCATTACGACCAACAATTGATTAGGACGATTGTTGGTTAAATAATTGATGGTGTCCAAACCAATGAAAAATTCTCTACTCCGATTGCCAAAACCACGTTTATAATCCAACCAGGGACGATAGAAATTCTCTGAACCATCGACGCGGCGTTGTATCACAATTTCTTGACAGGTATGCCAACTTTGCATTGATATGCCATGAAAGTTAATAACAAATAAAATTAGTAATAGTGTAACTGATATTTTTAATGGAAATTTCATTTTTTTTTAATTATTTTTGTTTTTTGGATTTTAAAAATAATTTTGTCTGGTGTAGACCAATAATTCGACTAAACGCATGTTTCTTTACGAACAACTGTTATATATAAATGCTCACCATATGTTCAATAATTGATTGTCTTCCTATTGAATTTTTATCCATGTTAAAAACGTGCCACCACAAAGTTAATGAACTTTAAAAATATTACTTAATATCTGCTGATGATATATACAAATAAACATTATGTATAAAAAGGACTTCCTATGAATAGTAAAAAGTGCCCTCCAGACCGAATTGTTTACATCCACCATCATGATTCTCTGATTCATTTATATGGGGGCTATACCTAAAAATCGACTGATTTATATATATATATTTTTTTTCAACCCAACGAAAACTTACAATATCGAAATATAGTCAACTCAGTTGAAAAACATGTCTGAAATCTTTAAAATACCGAATATTGCGGGTACCATTGTCCAATATTGACCATTTTTGGTCGGAAGACTTGTCACACAATGAGAACGTGTCAAAAAGGATGAGAAGCGTGCCCATAATCCCAAAAATACCGAATGGTGCGGTAAGGAGATTTTCCACAGAACCTAAAATATAAAAACAAAGCCAATTTATTTGAAAACTTTGTCCGAACTTCTTCAAAATACCCAAATTTGCTAGGATTTATAGGAGCTATACCATTGATCTAACTAGGTTTACGATATTTGAGAATAAAATTGATTAGCGTCATCTATTGAAGTTATATTGCAATTTACTGTATTTACAGTACTTCTAAATAATTATATCGTAATGCACGCCTGAAAGTATGCTTTAATTTTATATAAGAATTGTATAAATTTCACAGGGTAACACGTTGCGACGTAAAAACTACACAACCCAAAACAAGCTGTATGTTAAAAAAATATGATAATTGAATTTTAAATGGAATTTTAATGGAGGAGGGTCTAATTCATCTGACCAAAACTTTTATTCTTACTCTACGCCTGGAACACATAGGGGGTAGTTTTTTATGTACTTTAAGTATATATAATTTTAGTTTAATTGTTTTGTTTTGGTTTTTTTGTAGTTGTAAGTCCTAGTTATAAGTACACATCAAAATATAGATAAAACTCTATTCGCTACAGAAAGTGTCGGGAGCAAACACTATTTATCTCATTTTCAAATTATTTGTTAATTACAATTACAAATCTAAAGAATGTTTAAGCATGTAGCATCCCCATTTTTATGTAATGATATTAGAATAATACATGATAGTTTTAAGTGTCCCTGATATTTATTGTTAATACCATGTCCTTAATGACATGAATGAAGTCTCAATAAATACAAATCAAATCAATCCAATACCAAAAATCAAAATACCCAAATTTGCTAGGATTTATAGGAGCTATACCATGAACCAATAATACTTTTTTGTAGGAATATTTCCTACCTACCTAACTAGGTGTACGCCGTACAGTACGGTTACGCTTAGTTAGTATCGAAACGTTATTAGTCGTAAATAAAATTCCTATTGTTACGATATATGAGAATAAAACTAATTAACGCCATCTATTGAAGTTATATTGCAATTTTATGTACCTTCTATATAATATATCATAATGCATGCCTGAAAGTATGCTTTAATTTTTATAAGAATTGTATAAATTGCACAGGGTAACATGTGCGAATACACGACTCAAAACAAGATGTATGTTAAAAAATATGATAATTGAATTTTAAATGATAAAATTATTACACATTTTCTAATTATGATAATTGCTAAAAAGGCTGATTATAAAACATTAGTTTATTAAAATAAATTTCGCAAATTAAACAAATCCAGAAACCTACAAACTTTTAATTTTGTAAATTTTCAGAAAATAAAAAAAAAACAGTAAGGACAGTGGTAAAGTCGGACGGGGTCGACTATATGATACCCTTTACCACTATGGGTATATTAAACAGGACTTGTTACAAGTTAGGTTATACTAATTTCAGAACGTTTTGTTCCTATCAGCATATTGGTTCCTTGGTGCGTCAATTACTTAAAATAAATCTATAATAAAAGGGAGCTATATCTGAATCTGGACCGATTTTCACGAAACAAGGCAGACATCACTCTAGGCTCAATTCAGTACGTTATGCCAAATTTCGTGCAAATCGAAAGATATATAGCGACTTTGGTGTACCATTTACATGATATCGGACGAAACTATATATGGGAGCTATATAGAAATCTGGACCGATTTTCTCGAAACTTGGCAGACATCACTCTAGGCTCAATTCAGTACGCTATGCCAAATTGCAAATCGAAGGATATATAGGGACTTTGGTGCACCATTTATATGAAATCGGACGAAACTATATATGGGAGCTATATCTAAATCAGGACCGATTTTCACGAAACTTGGCAGACATCACTCTAGGCTCAATTCAGTACGTTATGCCAAATTTCGTGCAAATCGGAAGATATATAGGGACTTTGGGGCACCATTTACATTAAATCGGACGAAGCTATATATGGGAGTTATATCTAAATCTGGACCGATTTTCTCGAAACTTGGCAGACATCACTGTAGGCTTAATTCAGTACGATATGCCAAATTTCGTGCAAATCGAAATATATATGGGGACTTTAGGGCACCATTTATATGAAATCGGACGAAACTATATATGGGAGCTATATCTAAATCTGGACCGATTTTCACGAAAACTTGGCAGACATCAGTCTAGACCTAAATGACTAGGCTGTACCAAATTTCGTGTAAATCGGAAGATATATAGGGACCGTTAACATTAAATCGGATAAATATATATATGGGAGCTATATCTAATCTGAACCGATTTTTCCCAATTTCAATAGGGTTCGTCCTTGGGCCAAATAAGTGATATATGCCAAATTTCATCCAATTCGGATCATAACTGCGACCTGTACTTTGTTTACAATTTAACATGGACCGACAGACGGACGAACGGACGGACATGCATAAATTGACTTAGAAAGTGATTCTATGCATATTATCAAAAGGAACCATGTGTCTATCTCGTTTCCTTTTGCCTGTTACAAACATACGCACAAAGACATAATACCATGTACCACAGTGTGGGGAAGGGTATAAAAACATGGATCGTTCTAAATCTGATATTTAAACTTGAATTTTTTAATAATTTATCTTTTTGGTACATCATTTACGTGAAATCAAAAAAATACAAATGGAAGTCATATGCATATCTGAAAAGATTCAAGGCCAATTGGATGAAGGCGATTTTCGAAGGGCTTGCAAATGAATGTTCATTATATTGAAGACTTGTAACTATGCATATATGTATGTATTTAAAGAAAATGAATTGACATAATTTTGTTGTTATATGTATATTTATTTTTTTGTAGTCAACGAAAATTCCTTCATTTTAATGGCGGGCAAGATTTCCGACTACTGAAACGTTCGATTTCAAACAATTGTTTACGGTATTTGAATTAATATTTATTTTTGGAGAATTTCAGAGCTAGAAAATATAAAGTTGGTCCATTGCATTTATCGTGTTCAAATTTGGAACGGATTGTGAAAACACACTCCAGCTTGATGCTGACCCAATAAATCGGCTATATCTTGTTGAGATGTACACTTGAAATGTTAAAGTAGCATTCTTGACTTATTATAGGTTCGAATTAAATAACTAAAATACACTTTTTGAACTCGATAATGGGGTTCCCCCTTATATTAATTTCAGACTTATTTCATACGCTATGGAAAATTTTGTGTCAATTGCAAAGACATAAAATTTTTATGTACCATTTTCATTTCCCGTTATGTTTTAGTTTCTGAAATCAAAAGACTTAAGCAACAAACTTTGTTTATATTGGCAACTCTTATAATTAAAGAGAATTATGACATATTTAAAAGAATTTCCTAATAGCTAAAACTCTAATAAGAAGTACATCCGATATGTTTTATTTCTTGCTCTCTCGCTCTGCGTAAAAAGATGCTGTTTAAAAAGAATACAATGTTTACAAATTCACAACTCGAAAAACATAGACCTTTCAATAGAGCTTTGTACCATTTTCATTTCAAAATATATTTCCCTTATATAAATCAAAATCGATCGATCAAAATCGTTTATGTCCTACAAACAGGTGAAAACGGTACTAGGAACTCTGACATAACGAAAATTAAACAAGAACTTTACATGTAGGCTATTTATTGCCGAATTAGAATATCAAAATACCGAAAATGAATCGAGACCATTGTCTGCAAAAATCATAACGTCGTTAAGAAAACTGTATCCTAGTAGGGTGTTTATGCCCTGATGACATGGTTGGAAAACAGTGCTAGGAACCCCGAAACATCGAAAATTAAACGGACCTTTATATGGATTCTATTGGAAATTTCAAAACCCCAGAATGTCAAATTACAGCTTCTTCGGTGGAAAGATTTCAATATACAGACGTACAGTCATTGCTAAATCGACACAAACTTGTATTCTTATCAATAGAATATCCCAACAAAAAAGTGATGAGGCGTGATCCGTAACTATAGTACATACAAGAGACGTATATGCATAAATCGAATCAGAAAATGATCTATGCATATTCTTAAAAGGAACCATGGGCCTATTTTCGAAAAATGGGTATATTTTAATTAATCGAATTTAACGATTTTATAGGCCCAAAAGCGTGAAAAGACCCATTATATGGGAGGTATATCAGATTTTAGTCCGATGTATCCAATTTTTGTCAGTTGGTTTATATACCTATGTATATGATGTAAATTGCTAAATTTCATTGAATTTGGTTGAATATTAACGATATTTTAGGCCAGAAAGAGTGAAATTCTCAAGAGTTAACCAAATTTTAGTTCGATCTAGGCCAATAATAAGCACTCGTACCAAATTTTATCCACCTACGATAACTCCTATTTTTGGCCGCTGTTAATAT